CAGATGCTCCCAGCTAGAAACCCAAGAGGACAGCCTGGAGGCAGCACCATTAACAGCAATACTGGATAAAGGGCCCTTCCTTCCCACCCTCCATGGCCAACCCCCTATCCACTTTAAAAACAAGGTCCCGTACACCGAAGTTGGACCATTTATAGCATTGACATTGGCATATATGGTTACCAATGGTAAATATTTTTATTATCATCTGATATTTCTCAGAAATGAAACCTCCACCACAGGAGACCTTAAATTAGCTCAGAATTCAGCATCTAAACCCAACCAGACAAGTAACAAGAGAAGGTAACATTGGCCGGGGTCCAGCGTAGAGTGTGTCACAGGTAAATGGTCCACCCTATAGGAGTCCTGCGGGTCCTGGGCTTCCCCCCGTGCCCTCTCGGCACCAGCTACGATCCGGTGCAGCATCAACATGAGCTGAGTCGAGAGCAGTCTACTTCCTGGGGTCTTTCATGTCTTCTACTGGCATACAAGTGCTTCCAGGACGAAGACTTGATGTTTTTTCCAACCTGTATTCCTCCCACATGCCCCGATACCTGGCACTACTAGCATTAAATAAATATTTACTTGATTTAATAACAAATGCGAAGTGCAAGCTGAGCTTTGAGGGAAGGGCAAGACTTAGATAAGAACAGAGTGGAAGGCTGTGCTTTCTGAACACCCTCAAGGGAACCAAGGGTGAGCTAGGCAGGCAGAGAGGCCTGTGGTCACGGGTCTTGGCGCAACGCCCAGACCCACTGCCGGTATCACCATCAGTCCTGAGTGCCAGGTCTTTAAAGCTGGTCTTCAGTCATCCAGACTCTTTAACTAGAACACAGACCAGTCCTGTGGCCGAGCGGCTATGGAAGCCGGATCCCACATGGCTGACTGGAGTTCGAATCCCAGCCCTGATGGCCTGAGAAAGCAGCTAGGATGGAGGAATGGAGACGGGATCGTGGTGTGACTACCCCCCACGCAGTGCCTTCTCCCACACCCTCTCTCCCTGTCCGTCTCTCTGGTAACTGCATGCTCCTCCTGGCAGAATTAAAAAATAAATAAATAAATAAATAAATAAGTCCTAGAACTTTGCTGCTTTAATCACAAAATCAGTTCCTGGATTCTTATTTCCTGGTCTAGTTTTCTCTCGCCCTTTTTCTCCTGATGTTAAAAAATGAAACCCAGACAAAGAATACTGGCTTCATACAAAATAATACCAAATGCACACATGCAAAGTTGGGGGTGCCCTTAGGTAAACACATCCTTGGCATCCAGAACTCCCCAGCACCAACCTGGACGTTCCTGGAAGCCTGGGCATCGTTCCCCTTGCAGCTCCCACAGCTCCTGAGACTAACCTCGCTCTACACAAAGTCATAGCGTCATCACTGCAGCCATTCAGGTTGCCAAGTCAACCCTGCACACACGCAAGGAGAGGCTAGTTCCGAGGCAGATCATGCCGCTCGCGACAGGAAGAGCAGAGGGGCATAAGCAGATGGTTAAAAAAAAAAATCCTCCTCCACTCCTTGATTCTCCATAAATGGAAAGAAAAGTTCTTTCCC